AAACGTAAATCAATTTCTAGATTATTTATATATTCTACTTTATTATTTTTACAAGTAACTCAAAGTGGTGAACATATTCAGAACATCTTCCTTCTCCTATTTTCCCCACAACAGCCTCCCCTGTAAAGTGGATTGGGCTGAGAGAAAGTGACTGTCCAAAGTCACCTATCTGGCTTTTATGTTTAAGGCAAGACTTGAATTTATGTTCTTCTGCTTTCTAGCCTAGTGCCTTAACCATCAGATTAAGCAGGTTCTAAATTAGTAAAATTAGCACCAAACAAATTTGATTAAGACCTTGGCTCTTTTTATCAATACTACATTTGATTCAGTTCAATTAATGCTTTTTTATTTTACATAGATACATAATCTTCCATAGATAAACTGCTATGGTGTTTCTTCTTAGAATAATAGCTAACGACAGATTGTGCTGATGATATTGTGGTTAAATAAAATTTTCATGAATCTCTTTTTTGAAGAGATATCTTACATATTACAAATTATTTTCTGTTTCCAAATATTTATTACACTTTAAAAAGAAACGTATACTTAAAAGATAGCTAAAAATTATTTTTTAAACTACTTTTGACAAATTACAAATAATGTGTTATGTATGAATGCTTACAGTTTCTATTGACTATTTATAGGATCCAAAAATCTTTCTCCTATAAAATTTTACATATCTGTCTGCCTAAATATTATTGACATTATTAGTGACCCATTACTGATTTATAAACTTGACCAGTTCCTTTGAGCAACTTCTCAACGGTATAGCGGGTTAAGACATTTTTATTGCTTTAAAAAGCAATGTTGTGTTCAAATTACAAGGAAGTAATTTTAGGCTAGATATTAAAATGATCTTCTTGACTGTACAAACTATCAGCCTGTGGAGCAGGCTGCTTTATAAAGTAGTGAATCCTTCATCAAGAACTCAAGCAGAGATTAGATGCTAATCTAGCAGAGATGTAGTAGATCGTGCTCTGAGTAGATTGGACCAGATTATTTCTGTAGCCCATTCCAGATCTATGAATATATAAAGGTAGTTTTTGCTTAGCAACCACAATAGAGACCAATAACTCATTTCCTATGTGGAAAATCATGTTACCATGATAAACTTAAGTTCTTCACTTCCACTTCAGTCATTAAGAAAAGCAACACAACTGCTAAGTAAAAAATCATGTGGCCACAATTTATTATTTTCCTTTTGCCTTTCGTCGCAAGATTGCAGGACGCTGCAACAGTCGTAAATACTAGAATTGGTCACTTATTTTTTTAGCTGTACCTGGTTGCTGCATAAGGCTGTTGGTAAATGAGGACTGTCTATATTGACAATATGTGTACAATCTATTTTCAAAGATTTTCAGTCAGAAAACAGATTATGATTACTGTGGCTAAATTTGTTCATGACAAATTTATTTGTCATTGTTGATGCTGACTTCTAGTAATTATTGCTCTGTTTTCAAGATGCTCACAAACTGATCTCTATAATCTGCTCTAGAGATTAAAATCTCTAGTTCCTTGGATCCTTTTCACCCTGTTTCTCTTGAAGATAATGATATTTGCTGTCATCCATTTATCTTGCATTTCATTTCTTCCATCAGGGTTTCTCAAGAAAATTATTGGCCAAAGTATTTCTTCAGTACTTAGTTGATAACATTCAGCTAAGGATTCCCCCACAGTTCTGGGCTACATGCCATGTCAGTTTACCTTTTTCTACTGTCTATATGTGTCCTTTGTTTTTAGATTTTAGTAAGCTTTTCATATAACTAGTTTGACGACTTCTGTTGTTTTCCATTCTATTCTGCATTAGATTTTTTTTAATTGTTCCAGGACTCATCCCTCTTGAACTTCTTGTCCCATTCTCATGTGATGGAATCCACTTATTGCTTAAAATCTACTTTTTGAAATTCAACAAAAATAAGTAAAGAATCCCATCATCACATTGCAATTTTCCATTGATATTCCTGAAATTTCTAAATCTTTTACTGTCTTCCCTATTGCATCAGTAACCATGTCAAGAAGAGTTAATCTTCTTGTACTTTCTACAGAGTTTGGAGAAACAAAATACAGTAGAACTTATGGTCACAACCATCATTTGTTCCATAACTTTGGTCGCAAACCAATTTGGTTGTGACTTCAACCTAATTTTGGAAATTTGGCACTTAACCCCCCAAAAAAATGGTGCGGAAGGGGAAATTGGCCGCAAAAATTTTTGTGTGAATTTTTTGGTCAGAACCCGATTTGGTCGTGGTCAGAAGCGTTCGTAACCAGAGGTTCTACTGTAACAGGATTATTTACATTCTCTACCAGCACTTCTTCCCTCTTTGGAATGCCTCTTACTTGCTTTTGGAAAGCATCAACACTTCTCTTTGATGCTCTTCCTTTGATTATTCTTCTCATGGACAGTTGCTTCTATTGTGGGTTCCTGTTATAGCACCTTCTTTGATTTGATCAATCTTATTATTTCATATTAACGGAGGTATCACTATTCATTGTACAAATGCTCTGACCCTTTCTTGGGATTTGCCATAAGTTTCCATTTACTGCCAGCATGTTTTCTCTCATAAGATTATAATATGCAAGCTATAGTTTAGAATGAAAAACTATGGTCTTGCATGTATTGAATAGTTAATGACAATGATTTATGAAAATTACACATGGTTCTTATTCTGCTTATCGGAGATAAACACTCTTTTTACTCTTTTCTATTTCAGTGCATAGAATCAATTTAAAACTGAAACATTTCATTTGTAGGAAGACTATTACTTTGCTTTTATTTTAAAAGAAATATATTTACCAGGACTTTGCTACAATGAAGATAACAGTGTGCATTCTTTTTCTTTTTTCTTTTTATGGACCTTTGTCAGGACGTTACAATGAGAGCAAGGGATGTTTGAGCTATAGTTCTTGAAGGCCAAGGGACATTAAAATGTTAATTCCATGGTCTAAGAACAATACTGTATATAATTAAAGCCCTGTGGTGTTCTATGTGGTACTCCTATAAATACTGTGGTGTTCTATGTGGTACTCCTATAAATACTGCTTATACCTGAAGATCAGCTGAACTGTTAAATGTTGAATTTATGTTGGTTAAGGTTAGTTAACCGTGGCTTTTTACATACGTCAATTTTATAACTAGATCTTAACACAATAAAAGAGCTTGGTGGCTCAGTGTTAGTATTGCAGGCTAATTGTCCACAGCCAGGAGTTTGATCTTTACTGGCTCAGAGTTGACTCAGTTTTCCATCCTTCTGAAGTAGGTAAAATGAGGATCCAGATTATTGGGGGCAATATGTGGATATTGTAAACCACTCAGAATGCTGTAAAACACTATGGAGCTGTATATAAATGCTATTGCGATTGCTTTACAAATTTTATTAGCATAAGCACACTTTATTATCTTATGTATATAGTATATAGGAAGATGATTTGCTGTGAAGCAATAAGAAATCCTTTCATGTAGCTCAGAAGTTTACAAAGAATTCATATTGAAATACATTTTCCACTGCTGTAAACAGTAATAGAAAACCTTTCTGATAGCTAGTTCTTTCAACTAAATTATTTACTGAGGATACTCTTGAGCCAATTTTATTACAAAAACATCTACTGAAATTTAACTAACATCAAGAATAATAGGTGTAATATAAATGAATTAAAATAAATGGCTATATCTGTTGACATAATCATATTCACTTTTAACAATAAACGTCACTCATGAAATGATGCAAACTATTTTTCAGCAGGGACATATTTTAAGAGATAGTTATTACATAATGTGACAGCTAGAAGTTAGCTAACCTGCCTAACCTTGACAGTCTATGAAAAAGCTAATTTCATTTGGTATTTGGTGCTTTGAAGCCCTTTTTGAGGGATGTTTCCTTACCAGATTTCTCAATGCCTTCAAGAATAGCTGACCTAATGTACTGGAGAATTCCTTTAAAATTCATGGAGATATTCAGAGATGTATCTGCAGGTCAAACCTCAAGAGTTGGCCACAGGAAATATTTTTGAATATTTTGTATTATAAGACTTTATGATAATTTTATGTCATTAAATGCTGTATTAAATTTGCCAAGTTTTAATTCCATAGGAGTCATGGGTTCTGGATGCATTCTTGAAAGTAGACCATTTGAGGTACATTGGTTTAAAATTGTTGTCCTGCAATTCACCGCTTTGCCCAGACAGGCAGGAGAGTTTTAGTATATTAGATAAAAGCTATCGGCATTTATTGGCTATAGTAGCAAACATAATAACTAGAAGCCTAGGAGCAATGTGACCACATGCCAGATCTCAAGGGACAGTCAGATAGTAGCCATCACATTTATTCCATGAACATGTGGTAGTTCTATTAAAAACAAACAGTGGACTAGATAGCCCTTTCATCTAATGTAAGACAACATGAACAGGGAGGTGCATTTTTATCCTTTAATAAATTAAATTTAGTTTGTGACAGTAAAAGATGTGCTGAGATCAAGTATAAGTTTCAAAACAAACCACCCTTTTGAACTAATGAAAAACTTTAAAAAATGGGAGTAAAAGAGGTTGATTGCTACAAACAGGCAATTGTTTTATTAAGTCTTTTTATGTTGTAGTGATCATCATGGTGGTTTTGTTTTGCAAATCAGCATGTATTAATAACAAAATGGATAGGATAAAGTGACATTTACAAAAATAAGACTTTCCTATATATACCTAATCCAAATATAGGTGACCTGAATATGTGTCTGCGTGCATTTTCATCTAGACATTTCCATATTTTCATAGTTTAAGTGAGTTTGTAGTTGAGGCTTCTTCTCCATTGTAATTTCATTTTTTTTCAAATTTTAATTTAATTGGCTCCACTAAACAAAAGTAGGTTTTTACTTGAGAGTTGGAAACAAGGAAATTTTGTATACCATGACATAGTTTTCCTCTAGAAAATTAAGGTACACACAATATTAAATACAAGCATTAGTTTTTCTGCATTAACTTTATTCATTTTGATATAATCTCCTTTTTTTCAGATTTCTTCCTGGAGATTTTTTTCATATTCCTCTGGTCATGCATAAGAAGAATTATTTAACATTATAATGGATTTTAAGTGGAACTACCAAGAAAAGAAGTGTTATAATAAAATTTATGTCTGACAAGCCATATAGCTTCTCACATAGAACAATGACAACTTCTCATATGAATGGACATGTAACAGAAGATTCAGACAGTGAAACAAGAATTATGGATCTTGCACCTCTTGAAGAATCTCAGAAACACAGGGAAATGGCTGTGGATTGCCCAGGTGATCTAGGCAACCGCATGATGCCATTACGGCGGAGTGCTCAACTTGAACGGATTCGACAACAGCAAGAGGACCTAAGGCGAAGGCGGGAAGAAGATGGGAAAAAACAAGAACTTGATCTTAATTCTTCTATGAGACTGAAGAAGCTGGCACAAATTCCTCCCAAGACTGGAATAGACAACCCTATGTTTGACACAGGAGAAGGAGTAATTCTGGAGAGCCCGCATTGTGCTGTGAAAGTCCTAGGTATGTATATTTTAAGTAGAACAATTTATTTTATATGCAATGGGAATTTTAGTGCTTCTAAATGAATATTTACTTAGGCTTGAGAGATTGTGTCTATGCAGCTAGTCCTCATTTACAGTCCATAATGGGGACTGAGCAACTCTGGTTAAGCAGTGTGATCATAAAGTGAATCATAAGATCTTGTCTTGTCTCTCTCATGCCAGAAATGCAGAAACTAGAAAAGGGGATATTATTAATTTAATATTGAAACAAAATTCAAAACTTTAATAAAATATAAATCCATATATATTTGGCCTTTGCTCAAGTTCGTCTGGTGCACCAATTGCGGCCCTATTTGGACCGGGATGCGCTTCTAATGGTCACTCGTGCCCTTGTCACCTCGAGGCTGGATTATTACCAGATAATAATAACACTCTACATGGGGCTACCCTTGAAAAGCATTTGGAGACTGCAGTTAGTTCAGAATGCGGCCGTGCGGGCGATATTGGGTGTGCCAAGGTACACCCATGTTACACCTATCTTCCGTGAGCTGCACTGGCTACCCATTGGTCTCCGGACTCAATTCAAGGTGTTGGTTATTACCTTTAAAGCCCTACATGGCTTAGGCCAGGATACCTTCGAGACTGCCTGCTGACACATACCTCCCAGCGGCCAGTAAGATCCGACAGATTGGGTCTCCTTCAGATGCCGTCGGCCAAACAATGTCGGCTGGCAGGCCCTTGGAGGAGAGCCTTCTTGGTGGCTGCTCTGACTCTTTGGAACCAGCTCCCCTTGGAAAGCCGGACCATACCCACTCTGATGGCCTTCAGGAAAACCGTAAAAACGTGGCTGTTCCAGCAGGCCTGGGGCTGTTGACCTCACTGTTGAGGTCCGGTCCCTACTAGAATTGAATGTATGA